AAAGACTTCTATAAGAACAGCTGGATCATTAACAACACTTCTGCCTGTACCTTGGTGCTTCTTCCCCATTCTTTATCCTGCTTTCCTCATTAAGCACCTGAAGTATATATTGTCTATAATCTCTTTGCTTTATATATTTTTATTTAAGGTTTTATTTTTAAAAGCAGTTTTAGAATCACAGCAAAATTGAGAAGTACAGAAATTTTCCATATACTCTCATCTTCACACATGCTTAGCCTCCCCCATTATCAACATCCTTTCTACTTACTTCATTGGAGCCCTTAGCATATTCATCATTGTTATTTGCAATTCCGGTTTGATAATTCCATCATCCCTGAATGTCTAATTCTGAAGTTTGCTCTGTCTCTTCAAATTGTGCCTTTAGCCTTTTGTTATGTCTCATAATGCTTGATAGTTGGACATGCAGTACTTGGCAAAAGGAATTGCTGTAAATAGGTTTTTAATGATGCAGTGGTGATGCAGGGGGAAAGGAAAATTTTTGTATTCCTATGACTGGGTCTCAGTCTTTTAGTGAGGCTATACCTCTGGACTGTTGACTTCACAAGAGTTTCTCAGGCTTCTTCTCCCCTCTTAGGTGGAACAGGATGATTAGAACTAGCTGGTATCTCCATTCCCCCAGGTTATTCAGGCTCTGATAATACTCCCGCAGGTTAGACTCTGGTTAACTAGCTTTTCCCGTGGCCAGACCTTGTTAATAAGAACAGAGTGCTTTGGCATATTGCAAAATTGTTCCTTTTCCCCTTCCCCTGCTAGAAACGCATGGGGATTTTTCTCTGATATTTACTGTGGAAATCTGGTCAAGTTCCTGGAGATAAATCTCACAACATCGAGGGGGACCCCATATGGCTGTGGTCCCCTGGAGTTTTTAACGCTCAGACTTGATCACATTGAGCCTCCAGCAATTCATCAATTATAGTTCAGATTTTCCTGCCCCTGCACCGGTTTGCAGGGTGGTTTTCACTCTTGCAAATCTCTGTTCCACTAAGCAGCAAATCCCTGTATTTTCCTGTCTCTCCAATCTTGGAGGCTGTGGTTTGCCTTATGTTTTTCCACCTATTATGAATCAAAGAAGAGTTGTTGATTTTTTGTCTGTTCAGCTTTTTACTTGTTAGTACTGAATGGAAATTTCCAAGCTCCTTACATGCAGAACTAGAACCAGAAGTGAAAATCATGAAACTTTAGAGGAAATAATTCATCAGGCTCTAACTGAGACCTAAAGATAGTGTGAAAGAGTAGGGTTTGTTCTAAAATTGTAATGATGCTTTACGTTTTTATGGACTTACATAGTCTGCTATGCATTTTTCCTATATACCATCTTTTTTAATTCTCACAAGGACACTCATCAGCAAGTTAGACTTAAAAGTGGCAATTTTATCATTAGTGACCAGCCCATGAGAAAAGCTATCCTGGAGTATGGGCTAAATAGATTAAAACTTTTATGTTGCACTCTGAAGAGCATTTTTCTCCAATGGTTTCCATACAACTAGTAGGTTACTTCCACCATCTTTGATTTAGCCCCACACATTACCATATATAGAAAGTTGTGGTTATGCAGGTTCAGCAAACAGATGTTGGCATATTAAGCAAGTAAACACACCATATCAATGACAGCAAGCATCTTTAAATTTGGGTGTTTGACCTGGAGTATATCATATAAAGAATAGCTGACAACTGTATGATTGTGTTTTGAAAGATTAATGGCAGAAATGAGCTGATTTTTCCTAACCTCAAGAAACATGTTCAAAAGAAATGCAGAAGACTTCAATTAAAAAGCATCTAAAAACTCTTTTTCCTAAATGATCCTGCTGTGTCAATTTTCTGTAATGTATATTGTATTTCTCTTTTGATCCTTTTATATCTTTTACGTATTGAGTGTTTTTGAGTCAGCAGTTTCTTATCCTCAAAACATCATTCACAAAACAGATTTGCTGCATATACTTTTTAAATGGGCTATGTACATTGTATTTATTTCCAAAGGTTTCAATTTGATTTTTTGACCTATTTATTTTATTGTGCTAAAAAACACATAAGGTTAAGTTTAGCATCATCATTTTAAGTATACAACTCAGTAGTGTTAAGTATACTCACATTGCTATGCAAAAAATCCTCTAGAACTTTTACCATCTTGCAAAATTGAAACTCTATATCCAAAAAAAATGAATTTCACTTCCACCCCAGCCCTTAGCAACCACCTTTCTAAATTCTGTTTCTATGATTTTGAGTACTTTACATATGTCACATGAGTGGAATTATATAGTATTTGTCTTTCTGTAAGTGGCTTATTGTACTTAGTATAATGTCCTCATGGTTCATCTGTGTTGTAACAAGTGACAGTGTTTCCTTGTATTTTTAAGGCTGAATATATAATACACATTTTCTTTATCCATTCGACATTGAACGTTTGGGTTACTTCCACCTCTTCCCACTTGTGCATAATGCTGTTACAAACATGGGTGTTTAAATATCCCTTCAAGACCCTGCTTTACATTCTTTTGGATATATACTCAGAGGCAGCATTACTGGATCATATGGTAATTCTATTTTTAAGTTTTTTGAAATTAATCTCCATACTGTTATCCATAATGCCTCTACCATTTTATACTCCCATCAATAGTGTTTGAATTTCTTTGTTTCCTTGCCAATGCTTGTTATTCTCTGCTCTTTTGATAGTAGTCATCCTGATGGGTATGAGGTGATATCTCACTGTAGTTTTGATTTGCATTTCTCTTACAATTAGTGATGTTGAGTATATTTTCATATGCTTGTAGGCCATTTGTATATCTTCTTGGGAGAATTGTATATTCAAATTCTTTCACAGTGGTTTTAAATCAGGTTTTTTTTTTTTTTTTTCATTTTTGAGGTGTAGAAGTTCCTTATATATTTTGGATATTAACCCCTTACCAACTACAAAATTTGCATATATTTTCTCCCATATGTAGTCCTATTTGTCTATTTTTGGCCTATTTTTTTTCTTTAACTTATCTATTTTTGTTTTTACTGCCTAAGTTTTGGTGTCATGTTCAATAACTTATTGTCAAATCCAATGTTCTGAAGACTTTTCCCCTATTTTTTTTATTCTAGAAGATTTTTTTTGTATTTTAGGTTTTATTTTTAGGTGTTTGTTTAATACTTTTGAGTTAATTTTCATGTATGTTGTAAAGTAAGGTTTCAACTTTGATTTTTTCAGTTTTGGATGTTCACTTTCCCCAGTACTTTTTGTTGAAGAAACTGTCCTTTTACCATTGTGTTGTCTTGACACCTTGACAAAAATCTTGTGTATATATACACAAGGGTTTATTTCTGTTCCACTGGTCTATATATGTCTTTATGCCAGTACTGCAATGTCTTGATTACTATTACTTTGTAGTTTTTTTTTTGTTTTTTGTTTTTTTTTTTGTGGTATGCGGACCTCTCACTGTTGTGGCCTCTCTCGTGGCAGAGCACAGGCTCCGGACGCACAGGCTCAGTGGCCATGGCTCACGGGCCCAGCTGCTCCACGGCATGTGGGATCTTCCTGGACCGGGGCATGAACCCATGTCCCCTGCATCGGCAGGTGGACTCTCAACCACTGTGCCACCAGGGAAGCCCTGTAGTATGTTTTGAAATCAGGAAGTGTGAGGCCTCTAACATTTTAAGATTCTTTTTGCTATTCAGAATCCTTTGAGATTCCATATGAATTTTAGGAAGTTTTTTTTTCTATTTCTGCAAAAATGCCATTGGGATTTCGATAGAAATTTCACTGACTGTGTAAATCACTTTGTGTAGTATGAATATTTTAACAATTTAAGTCTTCCAATCCATGAGTATGGGGTGGCATTTAGTTTATACCCCAACTTTCTTTGAATGTTCTCCTCAAATGTTGAGGTTCAAATATAGGCTGTGACATGTACAGATTTAAAAAAAAAATAAAATTGAACTCCGTTATGGAACCAAACACTTGTGGAATCAAATCACTTTAGAGGGGAGAGGATCTCAGCCACAGCCCTCAATGACACAATGACGAGAGCTGTTGTTAGTCTTCTTTGCTACAAAAGAAATTACCAAAAACATAATGACTTAAGACAGCACACATTTATTATTTCAAAGATTCCCTAGGTTAGAAAGTTAGACACAGGTTAAATGTCTTCTGCTCATGGTCTCAGAAGGCTGGAAAAAAATGCATTGGCTTTGTTGCAATTTCACTTGATATTCTTTTATACCCACATGGTTGTGATAGATTTCAGAACTTTGAGATTGTAGGACAGATACCCTCAGCTCTTAGAGGCTATCTGACATTCCCTGCTATATAGTCCTCTCCATATCTTTGCAGTTGGCTTATGCAAGACCAATAGGACATCTCCTGATTCTTGTCTCTAACTTCAAGTTCTTCTTTTAAGGGCTCACCTGAATAGGTCTAGCCCATTTGGGCTTGCAATTAATTCAAAGTCAACTTGTTAAAGACCTTAATTACTTCTCCAATATCTCTTTATTTTTGCTATACAATGTAACCTAATCATAGGAGTGATCTTATATCATACTTACACTTCCTGCCCACACTCAAAAGGAGAAGATTATATGGGACACAAACACCAAAGGGCAGAATTGTGCCTACCACAGAGTTCATGGCCAAATTTGTTGCAAAGCCTCCCAGAGAATCATATTTTCTGATTCCAAGGCAGATTCTTACTCAGATTTTTCCGAAACATACATATGTTTGTTTTAATCAGAAAATGTCTGTAATAAGGGTTGGCTCTTTTTAATTAGATAGATACAGGTCACCAATCTTGATTATATTCATGCCTAATTGGAAAAATAAATTTCTGAAAATCCCGGAATTTAAAATAATTTTGAACTTTCTGTGAGTTACATTAAAACTCATCCTTAATTTTCATCCATATTAGAATTTTATCAGAATAAATAAATATTGATATCAGCAGAATGCACACTAACTGTGAGGCAATTCCCTTGTGGATGATGTCCTTTCTTTTGAGAAGTTTTACCTTTTGGAAAGTCTCACCTTTTGAACTATTTAATTTGAAATGAGGATTTTCCATAGGTGGAGTCATCGAAAGCTCAGAGATTGAGGCTTTTGAATATATTACAAACATTTTCTTTACTAACATCTATATTTTATTAGAAGTATGGAATAATTCAGATATTTTTCATGATTTTTCTGTCTCTCTGTTATAATCTGAATATTTATGTCTTCTCAAAACTCCTAAGCCTCAAAGTTGATGGTAGGCTTTTGGAAGGTGATTATTTGTGAGAGATCTGCTCTCGTGAATAGGATTAGTGTCTTTATGAAGGAAACTCCACAGAGATCCCTTGCACCTTAGAGACTCCACAGAGATTCCTTGCACCTTCTATCATGTAAAAACACAGCAAGAAGACTAATGGATTGAGACATTCCCTAATCCTCTGCTACCTCTGGGAATAATAGCTTTGGAAAGGAGATAAAATGAGGCTGATTTGTGACTTCTGGACTAATTTTTAATCATTAAATTGTACAGAATATATATATCTATTAACATAGTTAAAACAATTATTATCTTGTGCAAGAACAAAACTTGAGACATCACACTTCCTGACTTCAATTTATACAAAGCTATAGTAATCAAAACTGTATGCCACTGGAAAAAGCAAAACTCCAGACACATTAGACTAATGGAATAGACTATAGAGCCCAGATATAACGCACATAAAGTGTAGGTCAACTAACTTTTGACAAAGGTGGCATTAATACACTCTGTGAAAAGGACAGTCTCTTCAATAAATGGTGTTGGAAGAAGAATGACAGTGTACCTTCTCTTTCACTACACACAAAAATGAACTCAAAATGTGTTAAAGACTTCAGCAGAAGTTGCAAAGGTGAATTTTCCCCAGATCATTACATTGCTGAGCATTTTATCTTTCAAGGCAATATATATTTCTGTCACTGTGTTTGATCAAAGGTAAAATGAAATATTTTAATTATAGGATAGCTGTTTGGACAACATAATATTTAAGGTACATTCCTAATCAATAATCTAATACTTTATAATTCTGAATGAGTGATGTGATATCTCCCTGAGTATCATTAGCATACTCAGATGGAAGATGTTATCACAGAGGGGCTGGGATGAAGTATGTATCAATGCAGGATTTCAGTTTAGAGATTATATTTAAGAAATGGTGAAATAAATACAAAAACATTAGTGTTCTCATTTTAAAATAACTAGCAAGACATTTTAGTAATTGAGTGTTAAATATTGTGATAGGATTATAGAAAAATATACCTGTATATATATTTATTGATCCATGTTTTGCATTTTTAAAGGTGTTAAGTAAAGTACACCTTAGTATACTCCTTGCATGCACAAGTAAAGAAATGAAAATCTATATTAAATTTTGTAGCATTCTTGTTGTGTTAGAAAATTACTATATATATATATATATATATATATATATATATATATATATATATATATATATATATATATATATATATATATATATATATATATATATATATATATATATATATATATATATATATATATATATATATAGTAGCCTATATATATAGAGAGAGAGACAGAGAAAATGGGAAGGTTGGTCAGATTTTCTAATTCAAACCTGTTCTGCCTGATGGTACTGTAAAATTGAGTTTCTTTATAATAGTTTTATATGGAAATCATATATTTTTATAGATTTATGTGTGACTTTAATTGAAACTTTGCCATAAGATTTATTAATCTCTTCTGATTATATATGTCTAAAGTGAATTTTGATGAGTTACAATTTCCTAAAGTGTCTATTGAAATTTCAAACTTATTAGAATAGAGCAGTATACAGTTTTTCCTAGTTTTTTTATTATCTTCCTTATATGTGTTTTACTTTATTTTCACAGCTAGCTTTTGAATGTAGTCATTATAACTACTCTGTTTTACTTTCTAGTTTCAAATTAGTGTACATTTACATATACTTATATTTGGTTTCTCCTTTTTAAAAACATTGGGTTGAAGTCACTCTGAAAAAGCTACATACACTATGATTCTGAACCTATGACATTCTGGAAAGGGTTTTCTATGGAGAGAGTAGAAATATCAGTGGTTGCCAGGGGTTGAGAGGAGAGATGAATAGGCAGAGCACAGAGGATTTTTAGGGCAGTGAAAATACTGTATGATACTATAATGGTGGATACATGTCATTATATATTTGTCCAAAACCATAGAATGTGCAACTGCAAGAGTAAATTCTAACATAAATTATGGACTTTTGGTGATAATGATGTGGCAGTATAGGTTTATCAAGTATTGCAAATGTACCTCTCTTTTTGCTGGTGTCATTGAGAGGGGAGGCTAAGCATGTGTGGAAGCAGGCAGTATATATGAAATCTTTACATCTTCCTCTCAATTGTGCTCTGAGCCTCAAACTTCGCTGAAAAAAAAAAAAAAGTCTTAAAGATTGTGTTAAAACTGCAATTAATTTCATTTTAAATAAAGGTATGTACTGCTATATATTTGCCTCTAAATATGACTTCTCTAAGATTTCATATTTTCAATTGATAATCATATACTTATTATTTCTAAGTAATTTTCAATTATAGTTTGTAATTTTCTGACCCACAAGTTATAAGGAGTTTTTTTTTTTAATTACCATTTCTAAATTCTCAGAATTGTTGTTTGTAGTTTTGTTACGTATTTGAACATTGTATAGTGTGCCCAGAGACTGTGACACACTGAAATAAATTTTTTTGTCCTTGGCCTAACACAATCACATTTTGTAAAAGTTGCAAAGGATCAAAACTGTGTAAAACACACATGTGGGGCAAGGGAGCAATATCAAAAAATGCATCCATTTCCTACCTTCATGCTACACTGAAATTCATTTACCTTATAATATTTATAGATGAAAATGATGCAAGAACTCTTGTAACACTGTGATAATTCACTGATTTAGTGTTATCATGGATAGTAAAAGTTAGAAAGTCAATACAGAATGTAACTACAGATAATTTGGCCCAGTGTCTTTATTTGCAGATGAACAAACTTGGATGTGGGATCTTTAAAACCACGTGTCCAGTGCCACATAGGAAATTAGTGGATTAAGAGATGTGGACCCCAGGCCCTTTACCATCATTTAGGATCTCTGCTGCCAAAAAGTTTTGAAGATCACCTCATCACTGACCATGAATAGGAAATATAACATAAAATAAAATACAATTTATGTTTCAAATTCAGAGAGCAGAAATCCTTCAGGAAGCAGGCTCAATATTATATATATGCAAATTAAACAGTTTCTTTTGTGGTTTGAGAAGAATGGCATTAGAAAAGACTTTTGTATCCACCAATATATCTCCCTGACTTCCTGGCCACAATTAAATTTATCACTCATAAGTCATTCTTTGGGTTTAGACAGAGGTCTCCTTACTTCTAATTTTTAAATGCAAATGTTCCCGTTGCATATTAAAGGCTTTCACCTTAAGTGTCTGATTTTTATCACACCCTTTTTAGGAGAAAGAAGAAGAACCGTGAAAGCAGAAAAATGATAACAATCCTAAGTGAGACCTGATGAAGAAAGCTGCCATTCATTTTAAATTGTGGACTGCACAGGCTGTGTTCTGGAATCAGAAAACTAGTGCAGGTTTGCATGTGAAGTTTCTCGTATGCTGTGCTTACTCATGCAGTGTTTTAATCAGCATTTGATGTAAGCTTTCCTGTTTCCCTCCAATGGAAACAATATTGGGCCCTCTGGAATTTTATAAGAAGAAAATTTTCCCTTTGCTCACAGATATGGAGTGCAAAGAGATATAAAATAAATCTTCAGAGGACTTCTCTTTACTGTTTTAATAGCCTTGTCTTCAAGTATCAGGTAACGAAGAGATACAGAGAGAAGCTTATCTTTTATTTCAGTACATACCATTCTTGATTTTTTAAAAATTGGTCAATATAGTCCTGCCTGATCAATAAATTTTGATATCTGGCTTCTCAGAAATCAATATCTGCTTCTTCAGTCTATTTTGTCTTAATGGCACTGAGAGGTTAATTAGTATGGCCAGTGCCATGGGGTGACTCATCTACTAAGTCCTGTCTAAGAAAACTAGAACTGTGAATTACTACCCCATGTTTAACAACAAAAATCACTGTCTTTTAAAGAAAGCACAACAAAATGTAAAATTCCAGAAGACAATTTTTGTTTTTTCCAATATTTTGTTAAGATTATCAATCATACTAAAAAATTAAAATAATTTAACAGAGAATACCTATAATCATATTTTTCAGATTAATATTTTATTATTCTTGCTCTATCATATATCTGACCCACTTTTCTACACAACCATTAATCCATGTTATTTTTAATAAATTTTGAAGTAAAATTTTCCTGATTCTCTAAGTATGCATATCATTCATTTGAGTTTTATATCTGTAGGATTTTAATTTTAATGTAGAATTTACATAGAATTAAATACACAATTCATAAGTATACATTCAAAAAGTCTAGAAAAAAGTATTTACCTTTGTAACCCAAAATACTAGCTAGAGGTTTATGGGAACTTCTGAATCCTTTGTCATCAAGATTCCAAACTTGATATTGTTTATAACTTGTTTGTATTCTGAGATAGTCTGATATCTATTTAGATGTTATGAGTTCCTTAAACCTTTGAGAAAAAAAGAATTCTTATATTAAAGCCTTGAATGTAAGTAAAGAAAGTGATCCTCTCAGTTGTTTAAAATGGAAAATTCAAATGGTTCTGAAGAACCTAGGGGCAGGACAGGAATAAAGACACAGATGTAGAGAATGGACTTGAGGACATGGGGAGGGGGAAGGGTAAACTGGGATGAAGTGAGAGAGTGGTATGGACATATATACACTACCAAATGTAAAATAGATAGCTAGTGGGGAGAAGCCATATAGCACAGAGAGATCAGCCCATTGCTTTGTGACCACCTAGAGAGTGAGAGAGGGAGGGTGGGAGGGAGATGCAAGAGGGAGTAGATATTGGGATATATGTATATGTATAGCTGATTCACATTGTTATAAAGCAGAAACTAACACATCATTGTAAAGCAATTATAATCCAATA